AATCAATAACACCTTGGATTTCTGCAAAGACTGTGGAACCTGTGGGGGGGGAAAAAAAAAAAAGACACTTGACTTAACATTATTATCAAGGGCCTAACAAATATTGTGAAGTGCAGCTAGAGGGCACAGATGGCATTTGCACAACACTTGAGAACACGCCAAGCACAGATAGAAAAGGTCATTCCAGTTACCTGTGGCCTGGGCAGCTTGCTAAAATATATGAGCCAGAGCAAACAGCTTGTCCCAAATCAGCTAATTATATTTGTGCCAGCTGTTACACAGGACTTGTACTGGATGTGCTTGAACTGATTGCCAGCAATGAGCAAATAAGAAGTTCAGAATATGCAAGCTCTGAATCTTCCTGTCCTTCCCCTCCAGCAAATGAGCAAGTTGTGTAGTGGTGCAGGGAATTTGAAGCACATCAAAACAGTCAACATCAAAACACAGTAAGTTTGTGCTATAAAGCTCCAGATAGCCTTGGCTTTCACAAGCATGCCTTGTTTAACAGTGGGATTACATATTCATCTTGATATTAAATAAATCTATAGCCAAACAAACAAACAAACAAAACCCAAAGCAAGAATATCAAGCATCCTACCCAGGAAAGGCTCATTTACTTAAATGCCCTATAAGGACAGCAAGGCATGAGCAGGATTCTGGACTAATTAGCCCTAGAAGCAAAGGTTATTTTAGAAGATATGTAGAAACTATTGCTGATCTAGTCAAGGGGACAGAGAAACTGTGGGTTAATACTTTGCCTGAAAAGAAGGGATGCTGTTTCAGATTAAAGCAGTTAACCATATCCCTATGAAATAAGATAACATCCCTCTTCTAGGGGAGCAACCTTATCTACTTCTTAGTCCTAGTGAAGGTTAGGAATAAAGATGCTTGCATTGCTAGTCCCCAAGGGATCAGAGCAGAAAAGAGTAGCTATGACTACTGCAGTGGATCCTCAGTAGGAAATTCAAACACCCAGTGGACACTGACTGGGCTTGAAATACATATGGAAACACAAACATGGTCCTGATTATAACTCCTCAGACTAAGCACTCATACTACCCTTGGGAATCCTATTGAGCTAGGAGAGTAACACAGCCATCAGGGTGTTCTGACTGTGATTGCCACCTTCTTTTAGTTTCAAGATGGCAAGAGTAAATGCTGCACAACAGCTATTTAGGACCATCCAGTTCAATGGTGGCCAAAGCGTTTGTCGAACTGGTGTATGGAACGAAAACAACACTGACTACAGCTACAACAGCAGCACTGAATGAAGAAATTAGATATTTGCTCCCTGCCCCATACCACCACAAAATGGTGTCATGCAGTCTTCAGCTTTAGTAACTGACAGCCCCAATAATGAACAAAATAGCAGGCTCCTGCCTGCAGCATAGCGGTTTTCTTCTTGGATCAGCTTTTTCTACTTCTTGGCACTGGCAACATTTACACAAAAGTCATCAGATTCCTCCTCAGAGTTAAATCTCAGGTTAGTGATTTTTTGTATTTGAGGATATCATGTTTCATTCACAGAAAAGGAAGGAGTATTATTGTGCTTCATAATATCTGGCTCCAGTTTATATCTAAAGAAAACTATACTGTCCAGCTATTTTGCACCAAGTTTTGTCTTGCTATCAGAAGAAAGCTAATGAAAGCTTTTATCTTGCTCATTCGAGAGCCTACGAGGACTACAGTAAATTGTTGGCAGGAACAATGGAAGATAATTTTCTCATCACATTTAAACCTTCAACCATTTTTTTCCATTTATATCTCTTAAGAGATAATCAATATACAAAGAGAAAACATCTAAGTAAAGAATATTTCTTATGGATATTCTTGAAGCAGCCTAAAGCATATTGCTATTTTAAGACGAACTGAAGAAATACATTTGGGCATGTCATTTAAAATTTTGTACTTCTATTTAAGACATAGATCCACGTATATAAAACATATGCAAAAAAACAGTTGGACTGTATTCTCTCTAAACATCAGCAGCTAAACGTAAACCCATTCAATAAACAAAAATGAGTTTGCAAGGCATCTTACCTGATTTGTCTATAATCGCATCAATTTCTTCAATGACATCAAAATAGGCTTCGTTGTTTGTGTATTTTACCCCTGCTCTGCGCCAAGGAATGTTGGACAACTGTCCGGTGGGAAGTGTGTCACCCACATTACTACTGCCTTAAAAATGAAAAGGAACTCAAAATCAGTAATTAATTACAAGAGGAATGTTTCAACTGCCAAAATTAAGAATCAAAGCAAGATTTGCCCCCAAGAACTGCAGACTAGAACCTGGACCACTACAATTTCATTCCTTAGGTGATGTGAATGCACTTTAAGGATGTGTCCAGACTTAGTTTTCAGACTATACTTTGCACAGCAAAATACAAGGCTCAGGTCAGCAGGAGGTTTCAGTGGGAGTAGACAGGGGCTAGATCCTGTGAAGGATTTCATCACTACAATTCAAGACATTACAGCTCTTTGTGAGGGCCTTAAGCATGCCTCCCCCTTCTAAGAGTTTTAGCTGGCTGACTTCAGGGCTGATTTACTGATAAGAGTTGTTATGAACAAAGACCTGGAAGAAGCCTTAGGGAGGGCTCCCACCCCCTTTGCTTCGGAGCTGTTAGGCTGAGGCTCTCACCCTTGGTACCCATCTGAGCTACCCCGCAGCAACATGACAGCCACGTCCACACCTGACCACATGCCAAATCAATCCAGACCCTGCCCATAGACTTGACTTTCTGGCTTGACCTGTCTCATCATGATGGACTTTCCTGGCAATCACTGAGTTGTAGATGACCCTGTTATCATCTGATCCTGACCTGCTGGCTCAACTTCTGGGCTCCTTACTAGTGGTGCCACTGCCCCTGCCTGCCTTGCTGTCATCCTCGGCTCCTCATTCTTAATACCACCCAGTGTGAGAAAAGGGCTTCCTGAGCTACCTAGTTATAAAGTAAAATGGTGATTCTTTAAAAAGAAAACAAAACAAAACAAACTTATCCCTTCTAGGGCTCAGGTGACTGATCTTGGAATCCCAGTATAGTGGAAACAACTCCCTCTGCTAGAAGTAGGTCTCAGGACAGGGCTGCAGCTCACGCTTGCTTGTGCCCTTTAGCACAACGAATGTGGTAGTGTGTCCTGCCATGTGAGACAGCTTCACTGAGAGGCTGGCAGCCAGCAGTTATCGTTTCTACACAACCTGCTGGGTAGGCCCTCTCCTAGCAGGCAAAACCCAGAAGTTTTCACTTTTCAGCTAGTAAAACAACTCACACAGAAAAAAAACCCTCCCTAAAGTCCACCTCTGTGCTATAATACGTGGGGGAGGAGTTGCAACCATTTCCCTACTCCCTCTGCATCTCTGAAGGGGAGCAGTGGCCGTGTCCCTGCCTTGTGTCCCTCAGCAGCCTTGCAGGGTGCAGCAGCACTACGCAGGCTGGGCTGCCAGGCCAGGTAGGCGGGAGAGCTCTCAGGCTGCCATTTCCCACCTGCTCAGCACTGAGCTGTCGACAGTGACAAGATGCAGGCTGCCCTGGGCAGGCGCTTTAGGCTCCTAGGGAATTCTAATAAGACTTCAGATAAAACAAGAGGATTTGATGCTGCAACCCTTGACTTCAGGAGTCTTAATTCCCCTTATAGTGGTGCATCTAGTCCATTCACGTCATAGGAATTTTTTGTAAGTATAACTACCAACATCCAAAACCACATTTAAAAAAAAAAGCAATCAAAACCCAAAACCCAGAAATTAAAACTGATGAGATCTATACTCAAAGATTAAACCACACGTGCTACCTCAAAGACCAGCTCCTCTGAGCGCTACCTCTGTGTGGCCCTGCAGCCCACCTATTACTCTTCTAACTACTAACACAATGTACAGGCGAACATCTCGCATATCTCTGACCCCATGTGACACCTCGTGGCGTACTTCCCTTGCACCCGCCTGCCAGACAAGCAGATTCCACCAGCTCAGCTGACAGACATTTGGCTCTGTCAGTGCAAGATATACCCATTTACAACAGCCTGAAACCAGCTCCGAACTTGATGGATGCTGATGGTGGTGGGGGCGGGGAGGAGGCTGAGGACAGGCTATTTGCTTCCCTTCGTGCTATGTTCCCAGCCAGCAAAGATTTATTAGATATCTGTTATATACCTTTCTATAATGATTTCTTATAAAATGCATAACCTTCTCCAATGCCCCTCAGTTATTCAAGGCTTGGGGCTAGCTCTGTACCAATCCCAGAGCACCTGTCTCCAGTATGTGCTGTCTGTGCTGGGAATGGCTATTCCTGAGGGACTTGGGCAGCTGTGGCTGGACCAGAGAGTGCCACTGGGAATATCAAAGGGGCCAGGCATAAACTGCAAATAAGGAGGAAGTTGCTTTTATTCAACTCTTAATTGTGAGAAGTGGCAGGACAGTGGCCTCACCTTACAGATTCACACCAATATGATATTTTTTAGCTATGAAGCGTGATGGGGCTTTTTTTTTAAGCAGCCAGTCACCGCTGAAAATTATTTTCATACCTGTGATGGAGTTGACAACAGAGCGCAAAATTGTGGGAGGTTTAATCAGCTCCTTCAATATGTTAGATTCTGTTGCCAGTGGAAAGCCATTGTCTAACATTTCTTCTAGAAGTTCATACACAATAACTACATTGTCCTTAATTGCAGTCTCAGAACATTCGCCGAAGTAATCCTAAACAAATCAGAGTTACATAGGAGAGGATTTTTATTCCTGTTAAAATACTTTGCAAAAGTTAGCTTGTTTTTTTTTGCTTACAGAAACCCTCCAATATATCAAGGCATTTTAGTGCCTAAACTAACTAGCTACTTCTGTAGTCTGATTGCATCACACGTTAAGGTTATATTTATCATCTAACTAGAAATAACGACAGCGCAAACAGTGAAATTAATGTAATCCTAGTTTACTAGTATATATGTGTCAAAGGTTCTTCCACTTGTGAATGTTAACACATCTTCAGTTAGAAGACTCTTGTAAAATAAGGGGACTATCTTTTGGCAATGCCCAGTCTTCACAGAGGTTCCTTTATTTACAGTATCTGTGAAACAGGTTGAAAACTGACTCATGCTTCGCATCTCCTTCCTCCCTACAGAGTGCTTTATGACTGTATGCTCCTTCTTGTTCATCTATATAACATGAACAGTACAAAAGCTTACAGAAAAGAGACAGCATTTACAAAGCGGGATTTGGGTTTTAGTGCATATGCACTGGTATCTATAAATCAAATGAATGCACAAAATATACCTTCTGTTCCCTTGTACTCTATAAACCAGTGGTTGACTTAAAAATTGCAAAGGGGAAAACCACTGACAGGAGGGTTTATTACTTTTCTTTAAAAGAAGTTCATACAAAAATTCCCTTGGCATTATTTCAATTTTGAAATTATTTGATGGTGACAGACCTGGAAAGTATCTGCTACTCGGTGTAGAAATTCAATTACAAAGAGTGGCGGCACTTCTGTCTGTATGACAGACACAAAGAAGATTTTATCCCGATAGATGCTGATGAGGTAGTGATGTGGCGTTGAGATGACAGGAGGCACATTCTCAACATCGATTGCTTTCTCCTGAGCTTCAAAGAAATAATCACACACAGATTGGCTCACAAC